GGGGCAAACTGACATCGTAACGGTCTAGAAACATGTTCAGTGCTTCCGTGTCCGGGCAGCATACGGAGTTTGTATTCATTTTCCTTAGGAAGTCCTCGGTTTTGATGTTGTAAGTGGTCTGTTTTGTTTTGTTTTTTTTTTTATTTCATCTCCCAGTTACTGTTCCCATACAGCTGTTTGTAGGTTGGCTTGCTGGCCAGCAACCTTGTTATTTTTACTTATCAGGATACCATCTTTCCAGAAGATCCCAAGGCTTTCCTATGATTGGGAGGATCCAGCGAGGCGGTGGTCCAGGTGTTTGAGAGCAGATACAGGGTTATTGATTACAGTGCCAGGGAGCGGGGCTGGACGGCAGAGCGGAGACCGTGTGCCAGGAGGCGGTCGGGGGCTGTGGCGCAGGGGGAAGGTGAGGAGGTTTGGGACATAGGGAATGCTTCCTTTTTTGTGCTCAGTGGTAAGTGGCCTGTTGGTCCACTCCGGCCTGTGGCTGTTCTGAGCTGGGCTGCCCAATGGGCCTGTCTTACTCAGGCTTCTGAAGGCGGCCTGCCCCCCCGCCCCCCGGACAGACGGACAAGGACAGATCTGTGGCACTGGGTGGAGGTGATGTTAGCTGGTTCCTGCTGAAGCCGGGGGGGGGGGGGTGGCCCGTCCAGCAAGGGTGCAGTTACGGACCAGAGTGTGGTTTGGTAATTTGGGTGGCCAGGGCCATGGCATTTAGGGGGAGGGGCCCCTCCGATGGCACAGTCCTTCCCATATGGAATTGGTGGAATCGATATGAGACCGACTAACAGATTAAAGAAAGGGGACCAAGAACAAGGGGTCTGAGTATTGAAAGCAGTGGTGCTAAGGAGGGAGGGAGTTGGGAGAGCCGTGGTGGGTTTCCCCGAAAACCAGGCAGGTGAAGGACCGGGTTTGCGGTGGATGAAGGTGGGACAAGGGGCTAGGGGCCGGGAGGAAGGAGCCAGGCAGCTGGGGTCAGCCCTTCCGGACAGGGTCCCCGTCGGCCGTGAACCAGCTGCTCCGCACACTGGGAACGGAGACTCGGGGGGCTGGCGGGAGTGCCGGGGAAAGGGGTCCCAACCCCCCAGGTGCCCACAGCCCACCTGTGCGCCCCTCAGACCACTCCGCAGAGCCACCCTGGCTGGAGGCCTTCAGTCGTCCGGGGAGAATGGGGGCTTGGCTGCTGCAGGGCTGCAGGGGGAAGGAAGGGAGGGTCCCCCCGAAGTACGGGAGGGGATACCCATCATCCTTCTGGGCAGGGGCCATGTGGCGGGATCACCCCTGGGCTTCGGGTCCTTACCCAGGAGTCACCTGCAGGGGAGGTCATCAGTGCACCAGGGAGAGTCCCCAGAGATCCCCAGAAAATCCAGGGAGAGTCCTGGGGTCAAGGTCCTCCTAAAGTGGGGGGACCCGATCAGATGTGGGATGAGTGGATCAGGACCCCGGCTGCTGCAGGGTGACCCCAGAGGGTAGAGGGGGACCCCGGCTGGTGCAGGGTGACGCCAGCAGGTGGAGGGGAACCCCAGCTGGTGCAGGGCAGCCCCAGCGAGCAGAGTCCAGTGGTAGTGAAAGCCCCCCACCCCCCGCAGGGCAGAGCAAGGGGACAGAAGTTCTCGGGGTGTAAGTGCAGGGGCCCGGGCTCCTGCCGGCAGTTCCCAGCCCCTGCTGAATGGTCAGAGATGGCTGACACACCTCACGTGCCTTCCAGTCTGCGTCAGTGAGGACCGTAAGACGGTCTCCTGGCCGTGTGTTCGTGCACGAGTCAAGGTGAACTTGCTTCCCTCTTTCTTCAGCGGGCACTAAAGGCTCTCTGATTGTGTGCCAGGTGCTCGGTAGATTCTCAGTCCCCTTCCCGTTCATTCCTGGTGCACCTGTGTCTTAATCGCGTTCAGGCTGCATCCTTACTGTGCATATTTCTAAGTTTCAGGTGTCTGCCCAATATTTCTCTGTATGGTCTTTATTTTTATTCCCCAGAAGCCATTTTCCTCCTTTTGGTACTTTAAGGCTTTTGGGAGGTTTATTTTGTTTTTTAATTTGTTTTAAGCAAGCTGTGCACCTGACAGGCTAAAGAGTCACACACTCCACCAACTGGGCCTGCCAGGTGCCCCTAAGGGTTTTATATTTTTATATTAGTTTGATTAAGGATCAGGATCTCATTTTATTTCTAGTCAACCAACTATATCAAATACATTGGATAAAAATTATGTGTCTTCCCTTTCTGCACTGATTAGGATTTGGCTTTTTCACGTAGGTTAAGTTTTATCTGTTCCATCCTGTGTCATGACTGTTTCTTCTATGTGGGTCTGTTTTCTTCCAAAACCGCATGTTTACTTCCAAGTTCTCTTATCAAAATTATCCCTGTGCTGATGTGTTCAGCGTTTTCCTGCGGTTCATCCTGTACCCCGCTGACGTTTACCGATTTTTTTTTCCCCACCATAAAGTGATAGGAATTTTTTTATTTTAAAATTAAAATAACATTATGTTTTTATTTTAAAAATAAGAGTGAAGTATATCCACAATTTTAAAGAAGCTGGTTTAAAAAAAAAACAAAAACAGAAAAAGAAGCCATTAGACAATAGAAAAATAGGCAGAGAGAACAGAGTAGTGTTTCAAAGCAGACGGACGCAGACTGGCCAGTAAGCCGGAGGAAAGGTTCTTGGGGAGAGAGCAGGGTGGTCCTCCGTCGGACCGCTGCGCACCAGTCGTTGGAGCTGCAGACCGTGGCGCGCCGTGGGGAGACAAGGCTCAGGTGTGCGGCGCTGCGTGTGTCCCTGGAGGCCCCTGCGCACGGACGGGGAGGCCCCGAGAACTCGCGGAGCTGCTCCGTAGCGGCGGACTGTTCGGGAGCACTGGAAGAATGGGTGGGTCCATTGCGCTCCGAGTGACGCCTCAGTGCAGTCCGTGGACTGGACGCCTGCCGGGAACACAGCTGAACGGGAGGGCGAGCCGACTGGGCTTCAGCGCTGTGGAGCCTGCGTTCAGATCTAGTGGGGGCCCCGAGGCAGGCAGTGACCGCGCAGCTCCGGGCCCCAAGGGGGCCTCCCTCTGCAAGGCCTGCGGGTGGGGCTGCGCGCAGAGCGCAGACAACACCCCCGCCGACCCCAGACCGAGGCTGTGCGTGTCCCTGGTTCTTACACGTATGTGCGTGTGTTGTGTCAGTGTCAGTACCACTGTGCAAGTGGTGAGGAATGCTCTCTCCCCAGAGCTAGCGCCATAGACTGTGCGCGCTCGGGGGACGCTAACGAGAAGCCTGCAGGGGAAGCTCACATGGTTCCGCCAGCGGCGTGCTCCGCGCACGCTCCTGCCTGCGTCTCTGAACCGCCCAGAAACGGTGGGCGTGCCTCTTACGTCTTCCCCCGGGTCCACAGACGCGCGTTTCTGCTCAGCGTGCGTGAGGACCCGTTTCCCAAATTCTCAAGGACGCAGGGGAGCGGGACACTTCAGATGCTCGTGGGCAAAAAAAAACACCCAGAAACAAAACCTAGTAAGTGCGAAGCTAAGACTGTCGAATGTCAGTGGGATCCCTGTTGCTGGGTGTGTAAAGACACACTTATGTCCAGCAGGGTTTCTGGGGCCCCGTTAGTAGGTTCCCCATCCTACCTGCGCGTCGCCAGCACCTCTGCACCTCTGATTTTTTTCCTTGGAAAGGGAAGACTTTCATAATTCACACAACACGGGATGAGGTCACCGGACCCGGCTGCAGTTTCTGGGGTGTTGCAGTGCAGTCTGTCCACCATGGCTCTGTGGACGTGGTGGCCGGGTCGCTCTTAGCTGCGTGGGGCTGTCCGAGGCCCGGCAGTCGGTGCCAGGGGCGCCCACCCTGCAGCAGAGGTAGGCAGGCCCCCTGGGCTGGCGCACACGCCTGTGGTTCCACAGTGATCAGGGGAAGGAGCCCGAGCACCGGATGTGAGAGCGGAGGGTGCGACTGACAGATGTGCTCACTGCGGACATGAGGTGTGCACGTGAGGGAGTAAGAGTCCAAAGGGGCCAGACAGGATTAACTGAGAAAATCTCCTTCCCGGCCCGGGCCCCCAAGGCACCCGGGTGGCACAGATGCTGACCTTCCAGAAATCGAGGGGGATGCAAGGACCTGCGTTGCAAACACCGTGAATTTTTTCATTTTTTTAAAGCAGATGTTCGTATTGGCTGCATTCTTCCCTCCACATTTCATTTTGAACTTCTTTCCAGTTAAAGGGCTCACCATTTTGTCAGTGCAAATTGGAATTTTGAGTGCTTTGTGATTGGAAGCCTTTGCAGAAATACTTGGCTCGTTGGGCCGGTGGATACACAGTCACTGCCTGTGGAAATCAGCATTTCCGTGCTTCTGTCCGGACAGAAGTGTCAGTGAGACCGCGCTGCTTCCACGTTTCACTTCTCCCAAACGTTCTCTCAGACACAAGGTCCCAGATTATTTATTACAGAGAAAATGAATCATTTTTGCACATTTACTGTTACTATCTGTCAAATCGCTGTTCACAGGAAGCTCAAGACCCCCACTTCGTGTTGTCATGTGGATATGCCTTCATGGTTCCTGAGAGACAGAGGGAGAGCAGGGAGCCCGACGCGGGGCTCGATCCCAGGGCCCCGGGGTCATGACCTGAGCCCAAGGCAGATGCCTCACCAGCTAAGCCTCCCAGGCGCCCCATATTCTAGATTAAAAGGAATTTTGACACATTCCCGGGGTCCATGACTCAAAGCCTCCAAAACGTGTCCTTGCAGTAGTAATCTCGTGTGGCCCCTGTAGCAGCGGCCGGCGCCCCTGACCACGAGACACCTCCCCGTGGGGACAGGCAGCAGCAGACGGTGGAGGGATCCCCACCTGCCAGACCGGAGCGGCGGGAGGAGGATGTTGGGCTGGAGCGAGGGAGACCGCGAGGGCTCCAGGCAGCCCTTCCGCTCGCTCGCCTTGCAGGACCCTGGCCCCCCTCCCCGTGCTCAGAGCACGCCTGCCCTGGCTCGACCGGGATTGAGGCATCCCTGCTGTTCTCCTGTGGTTTCAGAACCGGGTCTCCCCCTTCAAGGACATGATCTTCTGCTTCTCACAAGAGGACTGGTCCCTTCTGGACCCTGCGCAGACTGGCTTCTATGGCGAGTTCATCATTGGGGAGGACTGTGGCGTCTCGCTGCCTCCAAGTAAGACTTCGTCCCCTGTGTCCTGAAACCAGAGGACGGTGGGGCCCGCATCTGCCTCACTGTCCCCCCGACCCGGCATGTACGTCGGGCCTACCTGGCTGCTCTGCATGCTTAACCCTAGTGTAAGGTGCTTTCCGTGCGCCTGGTTCTGTGGTTGGTGGGCTGTGCTCATTTGCTTCTGTTTGCCTGATGGTCCTGAAGGAGACACCCTAACCCTCCTCCGTCTCTGAGATCCTGTCCCCTCCCTGCTTGCTCTCAGGAGGCCTGCCTGGCCCCCGTGGGGCCATGCCCCGGTGTGCGAGCCTCCAGCTCTGTCTTCTGGACCTGTGGGGTCCCCGCCCCCCACCCGCCCAGGTTTCCTGTGGGCACCCACGGCTCATGGGTGTGTGTCCTCCCCTTTGTGAACAGACGACCCAGCCGCCCAGCTGGATCTCTCCCAGGGAGAGGAGAACGAGCCCCGGGTCCCCGAGTTGCAGGACCTCCAAGGGAAGGAGGTGACCCAGGTCTCGTACTTGGGTGAGTAATGGTTCCAGAGCTGGGTGGAAGGTTGCTGCTGGGCAGAGGCAGGCCCGTCCCTCCACCCCTCCTGCACCCCGGTGTTAGCCCTGCACCCTGTCTGGCCTCCTCCCTGACTCTTGCCAGAGAGGATGTGAGCGGTTAACGTAGCCACCCGCCTCAACCAGAGACGTTCGACAGGAATCCGTCCCTGTGCTGCCCAGGTGGCCTGTCCACGAGTGAGCACAGATCCTCCCCAGAAGTCAGGCTGGGGAGGAGGAGCGGGTGCTGGGACACTCTAGCTTGCAGCGCTGGGCCGCGGGTCTGTGTCACACGGGGCTGTTGCATGGGGAGGAGCTAGGGCTCGGTGGTGGTGTTTTCTCGCCTCCTCCCTCCCCACGTGTGGCCACAGAGCTCAGGCCCATAGCCTCTGTGCTGTGGACACATCTGCAGGGGAGTGGGCTCTGTGACGTATGAGCAGCAACCCCACAGCCCCTTCCCCTCGGGACCCTAGGTTTGGGCCCTATCCCCGCCCAGAACAAGCGTGTGCGTGCTCCAGCCAACTGCAGGCTGCATCTGTGCACCATCTCTGCGGGGTGCGGGACCCCGTAGACCCCGTAGACACCCAGCACGGACAGTCCTGCCCAGTTTCAGCACCCATGTCCTGGCGTGGCCACCTGCATGGGAGCCCGGGGCTGCTCTCCGACCATGGCGCACTAGCTGCACGACAAATTGGTTTCTCCATTTTCTTCTCTGGAAAGACTTTCCAAGCCTCCAGCCATTCCAGATAGAAGAGAGACGAAAACGGGATGAGCTACAGGTGCCAGAGTTCCAAACCTGCCAACAGCTGACGCTCACCCAGAACACCTGCCCAGGTACCGAAGGGCTGGGGGGGCACCTGCACGAGCAGAGTGTGACGTGCGTGTGTGCATGTGTGTGTGCGTGCGCTGTCACGTACATCTGTGCATACGGTGTGTGTGCGTGTGCTGTGTGACGTGCATGTGTGCATGCAGGGGGTGTGTGCGTGTGCTGAGTGTGATGTGCATGTGTGCATGCAGTGTGTGTGCGTGCAGGGGGCGTGTGCGTGTGCTGAGTGTCACGTGCATGTGCGTGTGCTGAGTGCGTGCAGGGGGCGTGTGTGTATGCTGAATGTCACGTGCGTGTGCGTGCGCTGTGACTTGCATGTGTGTGTGTGTGCGCTGTCGTGCAGGTGTGCGTGCAGTGTGTGTGCGTGTGCTGTCACGTGCATGTGTGCATGTGCTGAGTGTGCGTTCAGGGGGGGTGTGCGTGCAGGGGGCGTGTGTGTGCTGAGTGTGACTTGCATGTGTGCATGTGTGTGTGCATGTGCTGAGTGTGCGTGCAGGGGATGTGTGCGTGTAGGGGGCATGTACGTGTGCTGTCACGTGTATGCGTGCACCGAGTGTGACTTGCATGTGTGTGTGCGTGTGCTGAGTGTGCGTTTAGGGGACGTGTGCGTGTGCTGAGAGCATGCAGGGGGCGTGTGCGTGCATGGGGTGTGTGCATGTGTATGCTGCTGGGAGGGGGATCCTAGGGTCTCTCAGATCCGTACCGATTGCTCCTGTGGATTATTCGCTGCTTGCGCTGGTCTTGTTGCTCTAGGACCTCTCCCAGTCTGGGACCCTCCCCTCCGTGCCTTCCCCCTGCGGGTTGCGGGGGTCTGCGTGCTGAGGGTGGTCATGGCTTGAGGAGTACCCGGCTCCGCTCCCCCTGCACCGGCCCGGCGGGGATTTGGTTCTGAAACAGCAAGACGCTGAGTGTTGCTGTCTGAGAACAGGGAGGGATGCTAGGTTTCCAAGCCGTTGGTGGCCCGTGGCCCCTCAGCAGGGAGGGGCCTGCACCCCCTGCCGGGGCCGCATGCAGGCTGCTCCCAGCCTGGCCGCCGTAAGGCCGCACTGAGACGGACTGTCTTCTGGCTCAGCGTGCTTTCTCTGCATTGCCCGCGTAATACTCTGCGGTCCCGGTGTTTGCCTGTGTCCCCTCCCGCGGGGTGAGCTCTGCTGGGGCCCCAGGCCCTGCAGCAGCGCCAGGTCTGTGCGAGGTGCTGCGTGTGCATCCTGGGCTGATGACACCTCCGTGAGGTCTGCTAAAATAGCAGGACCTTCCTCCCGGTCCTGGAGGGGCTCCATGGACGGGGAGGGCGCTCCCTGCCTTGGAACGCCTGCCTTCTCACTGCATGCTCATGTGGCCTTTCCCTGCTGTTGGACACAGGTCATGCCGTCCCGCCTCTTCTTTCCTTGTAAGTGCTCAGCCAGCACGGGGGTCCCACCGTCAGGACTGCGTCGAGGCCCAGCTGCCTCCCAAAGGCCGCCCTACCTGAGGCCCTCATGCAAGTTAGGGCTTCCGGGCTGTTCCCTGCACCTCACCAAGCTTGCCCTCTCTGGGAATCTCCTCAAAATTCTCAGTTATGGGCCTGCATCTGTTGCCTCTTACATATTTGCACGCAGTTCCTTCCCTTCTTTTAGACTTTGTATGTGAACCCATTTTTTTCCTACATTTTATTTTTTTTCCTACATTTTATTTTTTTTTTTAAAGATTTTATTTATTTGAGAGCACGCACAAGCAGGGGGAGAGGCTGAGGAAGAGGGAGAAGCAGGCTTACCGCGGAGCAGGGAGCCCGATGCGGGGCTCGATCCCAGGACCCTGGCATCGTGACCTGAGCCGAAGGCAGACGCTTAACGACTGAGCCACCCGGGAAAGCCTTTCTACATTTTAAAAATGTAGATTTTTTCATCCTCTCCTTTCAGGTTTTATGTCTTGTAAGAAAGGCTTCCCATTCCAACAGGACAAGCATGTATTTCTTAGGATGCCTGGGTTTTTATTTATTTGTTTATGGTCACGTCTGGTTGCCCACCCTTGCCGTGACTCAGCCCCCCATCCGGCAAGCGGTGCGTTTGCAGGCCACGGGTGCCCTTCCCGAGGCAGGAGCTCCCAGTATGGCCAGGCACGTGCCCCCAGCACACCCCGCGGGCTGGCTTTTCCCACCTGCAGCTCGCCGAGCTCGGGCTCCGTCTCCGCTCTCTTGAAGCCCTGGGCAGCATTGCCTCTCAGAGGGAATGGTCTTGGCCGCCGGTGGAGTCATAGGATTAAATAATTCACGTAAGAGCACCTGGGCCAGTAATCCTGTAATCCTGCCCGCCCCCGCGCTCACCCTGAGTGACTCCTCCGTGCCTGGCACTGAGCTCTGATGGGGAGGGCATGTCACCCCGTAGGCCTTATGTTAGTCTCCTAGGGCTGCTCCCCAAACACCAGAGATGGACGCATGACAAGCAGCAGACACCGATTTTCTCAGGAATCTTGGGGCTCGAAGCGTAGGCTGCAGGTGGGTGGCATGGTGTCCTTCCCCTGAGACCTCCCTTCTTGGCCTATGGATGGAGGTCTCCCCGCGTCTGCACATGGCTCATCTCCGGATGTCTGTGCCCGATCTCTTCTTAGAAGGACACTTGCTGGAGGAGGGCCTGCCCTGATAACCTCATTTTAACCTCTTTACCCCTTGAAATAAATGCCTTATCTCCAAATACAGTCGCCTTCGAGGTATCGGGCTTAGGACATCAACATACGAATTTTTCAGAGGATGCATCTCAGCTCGTTGTGTTCCACCCTCAGGTGCCCCAAAGCTCCTGTCCTCTTCACGTACCTTCACACAGCACTCACCCTCTCCCAACGTCCCTCAGTGTGTTCCAGCATCCGCCCTGTATCCAGCATCTCACCTAAACATCCTGTAGAGCATGCGTGGGGCACACCCAGGTGTGTCATGTGCCTCCCAAAATGCAGTGGTGGGGCGGGCATAGAATGGACCTTCTTATTCCAAAAGGGAGAAATTGGGGGCGTCTGGGGGCTCCGTCGGTGAAGCGTCTGCCTTTGGCTCAGGTCGTGATCCCGGGGTCCTGGGATCGAGCCCCACGTCGGGCTCTCTGCTCGGCGGGGGGCCCGCTTCTCCTTCTGCTGCTGCTCCGCCTGCTTGTGCTTTCTCTCTCTCTGACAAATAAATAAAATCTTCGAAAGGGAGAAACTTGGAGGAAGAGAGGCTGATGGCCCCCAAGCAAGGGTTGGAATTCAGTGAGCCATGAGAATGTGCGGCTTGCAGGGAGCGGTAGGCTCAGGGCTCCGTCCCCGCCGGCCAGCATGCGGTGGGAGTCCAGTCTCCGGAGGGACGGCCTCTGCAGCCGGCCTGCCCCGGGCATCGAGGGTGAGGAGCTCTGCACCCCAAGGCTCATCCGTCTCTTGCCCTTCAGCCCCGGCTAGCCGTGTTCCGGCTCAGACACGAGTCTCAGAACCAGTGTTGGGCCCCGTGCAGTCCCCGGGAGTTCAGGCTGTCCAGCAGGCGGGTCCTCCAGGGTCTTTCCCGCCTCATCTCCGCTGCTTGACTGGATCCGGGCCGCACAACCCTGATCCCTTCACCTGATGGTTCTCCAGCCACTCGTGTGTGTTCTCTCCAGAGCACGCTCTGTCGCTTTCTCCCATGTGGGTGAAACTGGAATTTTCCAGATACTCACATCTCCTCCCATCCCCCAGCCTCATATCGTGCCGAGCCCCCTGACCCTTGTCTTCTGGGGAGCAGATGTTCCCGTAGGTCTCTTGTTGCCTGCGGTCTCCTGCTCTGTGTGGCTTCCCGGTCTTCCTGCCCTGCTTCTGTCTCCAGCTCCATCTGCCCTCGGGCGCCCGAACCCCACAGAACTGCCCTCGGGCGCCTGAACCCAGCAGAACTCTCCTTCCTCCAGAGATTGCATCTGGAACCACCCCATCCCTGCTTCTGTCTCCAGGGGTCTGGCGCCACTAGTCCCCGTTCTAGACCTGAGTCCCACATTTCGCAGAAGTGAGGAAACAGAACCAAGGGGGGAGCTGTGTGGGGGCTGTGGGCTGTGACCTCAGGCCCCCACATCCCCCCCTAACATCACAAACTTGGGATTCATTGAGTCTGCTTCCGACTAGGTTATAAAGTCCAGAACCACTACCCAGCCCCACTGGTGGGCCTCAGAGGGGCCACGGGTGACCAGGGTGGTGGGGGTGGTCGGGCAGCCCCGAGGTCAGCACAGCGAGGCCAGCTCCCTCTTCCGCCCTGAGCCCAGAGCGTGTCACCCAGGTTGGCTTGTGTGTATAATTTGGCAAGTAACGGGTCACGGGGTTGTGTCCCAGAGCAAATGGGGCTGTTGGACTTAAGCGCTCAGCATGTGGTCGCCGGCGTCTACCCTGCCTTTCTGGGGTATAGGGTCTTTTTCTCTCGGGGGTCTTTCGGGTGCCCGATGCGGGGTTAGGTAGGGCGCTGCTGCCTGACGGGTGCGTGGCCAGGACTTGACGCAGAGAGACCCAAAGTCGTCAGAGATTGTAGGGGTCTCAGTGCCTAGAGAGAAAAACAAGGAGCGGGGTTCGGGGCCGAGGGCGGAGAGAACGAAGCCGAGCCTGGCCGAGTTGGGTTTGTAGGTGCGGGGCTGTGGCTGGCGCAGCACGGCCGACCCTCCCCGGGGCTTTCCCGTAGCCGGAGCTGACGCACTGACGCCAGAGAACGGCCTGGATGAGGAGGTGACCATCGAGATCGTCCTGTCCAGCTCCGGGGACGAGGACTCCCAGCTCGGCCCCTACTGCGCGGAGGAGCCGCGGAGCCTGCCCGCCTCCCGCCGGAGCGGCGCCGAGGCGGCGGGCGAGGTGCAGACGTCGTCCTCTAACAAGTCCTACATCTGCCCGAACTGCGGGAAGATCTTCCGCTGGAGGGTCAACTTCATCCGGCACCTGCGCAGCCGCAGGGAGCAGGAGAAGCCGCACAAGTGCTCGGTGTGCGGGGAGCTGTTCGGGGACAGCGAGGACCTGGACGGGCACCTGGAGAGCCACGAGGCGCAGAAGCCGTTCCGCTGCGGCGCCTGCGGGAAGAGCTTCCGCCTCAACTCCCACCTGCTGTCGCACGGGCGCGCGCACCTGCACGCCGGCAGGCTGCCGCCGCTGCAGAAGCACGAGCCGGGCGCGGCGGGCGCGGGTCCCGTGGGCGGGGGTCCCGCGGGCGCGGGTGACGGCGCGGCCAAGCTCCGCTTCCAGTGCTGCGAGTGCGGCAAGGCCTTCCAGCGGCCCGACCACCTGGCGCGCCACCGCAGCAGCGTGCACGCCAAGGACAAGGCGCGGCCCTTCCAGTGCCGCTACTGCGTCAAGAGCTTCTCGCAGAACTGTGACCTCCTGCGCCACCAGCGTCTGCACATGAAGCGCCGCTCCAAGCAGGCTCTGAACTCCTACTGAGGGGGCCTGCGAGGGTTGCGGCGCGCGTCCCCCCTCCTCCGGAGCAGGGCGAACTGCCACCCCCACTTCCTCGGGCAGGGCACATCCCCCCGGAGCAGGGCGCGTGTTCCCCCTCCCCCGGAGCAGGGCGCACTACCACCCCCCTTTCCCTGGGCAGGGCGCATCCCCCGGAGCAGGGCGCGCGTCTCCCCCGGAGCAGGACACACTCCCACACCCCCTCCCCGGGCAGGGCGCATGTCCCCCCACCCCAGCAGGGCGCACTGCCACCCCCCCTTCCCCGGGCAGGGCGCATCCCCCCAGGCAGGGCGGCATCCCTCCCTCCCCGCTACTGACTGGTCCCACCCCCCGCCCGCCATGCTCCTCCCCCAGGACAGAGTCACAATCCTCCTCCCCTTTGCTCTCAGGTAGAAACGAGATAGTGGCCGATTGAGCATTTGTTCTGTCTATGCTATGCCAAAAAGCGGGGAGGGCTTGTCTCCACCAGCTTTGACTCTTCCATCTTTCCAGGTCTTCGAGAACCCCCTGCACTGCTTTCCAAGCAGGGAGGGACTGGGACGCTCCCCACCGTGGTGACCCCCGGGGCCGTGTCCCTTGTCAGCCAGTCTAAACACACGCCCATAAAGCCCTGTTCCACATCGTCCCTTCCTCCATCCTGAGGTTGGGAGTAACTGCACTTCTGCGTGACAGCAAGAAGCTTCGGGGGTGGGGGTGGGCTTGGGGGGAAGGCCGTGGACAGATGTCCCCTTGGGGCATGTGGGCGGCAGGGCCAGGCACCCCGCGTATCCTGTCCTCAGAAGTCAGTCCCCCATCACCGTCTGGCCATAGGAACAATCCACCGTCATCAGGAGCCTCGGTGGGGGCCAACTGTTCCCTGCACAGGTAGACGGTCCCACCCTTTTACTTGTCATAGTGTCTGGTTATTAGGGAACATGAGGTCATTGAAGGCAAAGCCCACATTTTACACTGTTGCACACCCTCCCCAAAATGTGTCTGTAACCTGGGAGGCCCTTCATAAGTAGTCACGGGGGGGGGGGGGTGGAGTGTTGTCCCCAACCCATCCCACCTGGTCTGGGAACAGGGAGCTCAGCCCCCAGTGTTGTCTGGGTGAGCTGGGCAGGGGACATGGCGTTCCGTGAGCATTGACTCAGCCTCTGGTCCCATTTGTTTGCTAGGGTTGCTATAAAAATGAGATGGCTTAGATGCCTCCCCTGAGATCTGGAGGCAAGAGTCAGACATGGAGGTGCCCACAGCGTTGGGTCCTTGAGAGGAAGCATGTGTGTCCCGTGTCTGCTCTGGCGGGTGGTTGCGGGCAGTTGATACGCCATGACTTGTAGAAGCGTCACCCCATCCGTGCTTCATCTTCACGTGGTGTGTGTCTGTGTCCATGTTGCCCTCGCTCCCAGGACACCAACCATATGTAAGACCTACCCTTCCGACTCCTATCTGTTCCTGTCTTTGCTAATGACATCCGCCATGGCTGTATTTCCAAATAAAGTCACACTGATGTACCGGGGTTAGGACGTAAACCTACAAGTTGTGGGCTTGGACACAGTTCAACCCACAACACCGGCCAGTCCTGCAAGGCTGCTGTCATTCCCAGGTCACAGGAGAATCCATACAGACTGGCCGGATTCAGACCCAAGCTCCTGTTTCCAGGCCGGGTGTCCCGTATAGTTGTATGCCCGGGCCCCTCAGCCACCCGTTCCCCTTATCGGGTGACATTTCACTGCCACATCGAGACGCCACTCCCCCAAACCCAGTGAGCATTACCAGGTCCTGCCATCGAGCTCCGTACCTGCGTAGATGCCGCCACCTAGCCAGGGACAGTAAATGCAATAAAACCGTTTGGTCATACCCTCAACAAAACTATTGGGGCTCTTTGTTTCTAAATAGCTTGCCTCTTGGGAGAAGGAACCCCTAAATCTTTTAAGCCTAAGAGAGTGGAAATTCCAAGTAGAAGCCCGACTTCCCATCCACCTGAGCTCTTGCCCAAAGGTTCTGTTGGTGCTGAGTGTATTAACCCACCCATGTCAGAATCTTGCCTAAAAAGAGCATCGTTCAACTCACCAGTGTATTTTATGTGTAAAGTCAGGTCCTAAATAAGAAACAAATGGAATCTATGTAACAGGCTGTGCATTTCTTCGGGTGCCCCTCAAATACCGTGCGGCCTTCTTGCATTCACTGACCCAGAGCTGACTGGGGCGCCTGGGAAACCGGGAGTTGACGTTGCCCCGGGAGACCTTCCTGGGCGATGGAGCTCAGGTCCCAGGTTCATACCACGCGTGAGAAGCCAGGGCTACCCGCAGTGCGGGAAGCTCCAGAGAGGAGAGCTGGCCCGCTTGGTTCCTCCCTCCCCCTGTGGGGGCTGGGCAGGCAGGTGAGGGGTCTGCCTTGCCATGAGGTTCAGAGACCGCACATCTGAGGACCATCTGCCCTCCCTGTTCCTCTCACCCCTTGGCATTCTTCCCACCAACTTAACAGGTGCATAATAAAAACTCACTGAATTAACATATTCGTGTTAGACTTAATTGTATTAAAAAAAAAAAACACAGCCTGAGAGAGGGTCACTCGGTTGGAGAGCTGGAGGTGCAAGGATACTGGAAACGGGCCTTCGGGACGTCAGACATCGCTTTGGGAAACTGAGGTCTCAGTTTCAGTCGCCTGACATGACCCTGTCTGGAGGAGAGAGGGTTTCCCTACACCGGGCGGAGCTTACACACCCAGTCACAGTGATGAGGGAACGGAAGGCTCGCAGAGGACAGAGCAGAAGCTGACACCCCACAACCCTCCCCCACTTTGGGATATTTGTGACATTCCTCAGGCACTCTTGGGGGCCCTAAAGGAAAAACAAATGGTTAACTTACAGAGATCACAATCCTGCAAGACCTGAGTCTCCCGCAGTTGACAAATATCCTCGTGATTTACAATGAAGAAGCTTTCTTATCAATAGCCTGACCTCCGGAGACCTGTAACTCAGTTTCCTGAAGCCCTAACGTCACCCATCCCTTGAAAAAGTTGACAGAGGCTGAGGCAGAAGGAAATGTACATAAAATTGAATTTCTTTTAAGCCTACAGCCCATTGATAAGGGCGTGTGATAGGAGGCATGTAACGTTCCTCCGGGAAGCTCTCAGTGATCCGACTGTTAATGGCTTCCTAGAAGGGAAAACAACCTTAACTTGACAACAAAGCCCCCAGTATCCTCCTGCATGTCTTCTTTAATACGTGAAAGTTCTTGCAAAACCTCCCCTTTTCCTTACCGCCCGAACCCCATAGTATATACTCAGCCTCCCCTCACCACCCTGGGGCAGCAGGTCCTTCTGCTCATGGGCCGTGTCCCCGTGCTTTAATAAACCACCATTTTGCACCAAAGACACCTCAAGAATTCTTTCTTTGGTCGTCGCCTCTGGACTGCACCCCACCAAACCCCACCTGTATTCCAAAACCACATCAACGCCATAGCCACTTAACCCAGGACTGCCAGGGTTTGGCATCTCCTCTGTCTCCTGACCTCTTACCCCACCTGGGGCAAAACAAAGACCAGTGCCAGGGGGGTCTCTTGCCATTCCTAAGTCACACCTTGACACAGACGGAAGAGAGGGTGCAAGTGCACACCAGCCCTAGACTTGGGGATTGGTCCAAGGTGCTCTCCCCCTGAGATGGTTTCCCTCCTCCGCCAAAACCCAGGAACTTGGACCAGGCGCAAGCTCTTCGGCTTGCAGAGTAGTGTAGGGGAATTGACTGTCTCCAGTCCCATCTAACAAGGCTAGGCACGTTTTCTACTAGCAAAGAAACAGTTGACACTGTCGGGGCGCCTGGGTGGTTCAGTCGGTTAAGCCGCCCACTCGATTTCAGCTCAGGTCGTGATCTCAGGGTCCTGGGATCCAGCCCCGTTGGGCTCCACGCTCAGAGGGGAGTTGGCTTGAGGATTCTCCCTCTCCCTCTAACCCCCACCGTCCCCACGTGCTCTTTCTAAAATAAATAAATGTTTAAAAAAAAATTAAAAAATAAAGGAATGGTCAGTGCCCACCAGTGCTCCATGTAATGAGGCTACAAGTTAGGAAGAGGGATCAAGAAGGCAGGCTGGGCAGGGAAGGGGCAGTGGGGGAAAGACTGGATGATCCGGGCCTTCTGCTGCCCCACCCCACTCGCAGGGCACCCAGCCTCCAGACATTGGTGATTAGAGATCAGGAGTTCATCAAGGGCAGAGCCCTGGGGGTCCATCCATACCTGCTCTGACCATCCAGCACCCACTGGGAACTCAATCCTCTCTGGAAACCGTAGCCTACAACAGGGCACCATGTGTAATGTGCATATAATTACCACAGTGCATTGAAGCCGCAGAAATTCCACGTAAGAGGCAGAACTCTCTGCAGAGGAGATGAGAAAGCGGATTCCTCAGGAACACACAAGTGTGAAGAGCCAGGGGCTTACCCGCGATATTTTAGCTGCAGCCGAGGGGCTCACAGGCAGGCGGGAGACCTCCTCAAGGCAGGGGCTGTCTCACCACACAAGCAATTGGCAAGGGATTGCCTTTGTTTTTCACGTTCTGCTTAAAAAAATAACAAGGTATATATTCAGGTCTTGCTCCATCCTGTCAAAATATGGAGGGACTGGGATGCCTGCTCGAAAACCATACAGGTCAGAAAAGACAACTTGTAGCTGGGGCGAGCTGGTCCCACCCAAAGTAAGGTGGAGCGCTTCTGAAAGTGTGGCTCTAAGGAGAGGCCGATCTGCCTCCAGCCCATTGTGAAGGTAAAATCAGAGTGAGATTTCTGGATAGTTGCGTTTTCCCCGGCTGTTTCCCCAAGAAGACCATTTGCAGTGGGAAAGTATATAAAGTCAGGTGGAAATCCTACCAGCACTTTGCATCTTCAGCCAAACACTGAGTCCTCTAGCTGTGGGGTGGACAGGATAGCAATGGGAGATGGGGACGGAGGGTGGCTGGACCGTATTTATATTGTGGCCCTTTTGGCTACTCGTATTTTTCTAAAACGGCTTG